CTGCTGCTGCTGATTATGGTCATAATGCCTCTACCACTGTTGATGATGCTGCTGCTCATAATTCTGCTGCTGATGATGATGATATTGCTAGTGACAATTAGAAAAAAAACTCGACACATTCGTCAACATCAATGCCCCAGGGAGAAACAAATAAATAATAGGCGACGTTCCAGGCAATTGCCCTTCAAAGTAGTAGAGTTCATTGGTGACAGTGCTCGCGATGCCGCTGTTGAGAGACCCCCTGTACCAAATCCCCGTGGATGCAGTCCGCTCCTCGAGTTGTGATCACAGCGCCAGCGCACAGGCCTAACCGCGTGCCCGTTCATTAGTAATCCCTCCCGTGTCTGAGTGAGTGTGAGTGTGCGAGTGAGTGAGTGAGTGTGCGAGTGAGTGTGAGAGTGAGTGAGTGTTTGTGGGAGTGAGCGTGCGAGTGTGTGAGTATGAGTGAGTGTGTGTGCGAGTGAGTGTGTGAGTGAGTGTTCGAGTGTGTGAGTATGAGTGAGTGTGTGTGCGAGTGAGCGTGCGAGTGAGTGTGCGAGTGTGTGTGAGTGAGTGTGTGAGTTTGAGTGAGTGAGTTTGAGTGAGTGTGAGTGAGTGTTTGAGTGTGTGTGAGTGAGTGTTCGAGTGTGTGAATGCGCGAGTGAGTGAATGCGCGAGTGAGTGAATGCGCGAGTGAGTGTGTAATGTGTTGCGGTAGTGTAGCTGTTAGCGCGCTGCAGTGTGTTAAAATCGCCACTGGGGAGACAAAGGCGGCCAGGCATGGTGCTGATCACCCACCCCCTCGTGTGCCGTGCCGGCCTTCATAGGTGCTCGCTAACAGCACCTGCCCCAACAGTCTGTTAAGGCTCTGAGTGAGTGTGTAACGTGTTGGGTGGTGCATCTGGGAGTCATCTCAGTCAACCCATGGCACCTGTGTCTGTTCCGTGCCCCTATCGCAGGCAGCGAGCCTTCGACACTTGACGTGCCCTTCAACGTGCACCTAGCATGGCACAAGCGCCGCGGTGACGTCACCGCCACTGTAGTGTTGTTGTTGTTGTGTAACGTGCGGGAGAGCGGTGGTGCAGCGGTTAGCGCGCTGCGCTACGCAGAGACCCGAGTTGGATTCCCGCCCACGACCAACACCACCAGCGTTGACGATTATTTTAATCCGGTCTTGGGCATCCCCTAGGTCGACTCGGCCTCAAATGAGTACGTGGTGCAGGCGTGTATATACATCGCCACCTGGGGAGACAAAGGCGGTCGGGCGTGGTGCTTGCCGCCAACCCCCTCTCGTGTGCCGTGCGCATCCTTCACAGGTGCTCACCGCTAACAGCACTTGCTCCAACAGTCTGTTGAGGCTATACGGGGGATCTTTGCCTCGTGCAATGTGTGCTCGTGAAGAGCGGTGGCCGCGGCGGCGCGAGTTCGACCAGCGTCGGTGACGAATATCCGAACGGGGCCCGGACCTCGCCTACGTCGACTTGGCCTAAAATCAGTTGCCGGGTAGCAGCGTTGTAAACACCAGCGGTGGGGAGCTAAAGGCGGCGTGACGTGGTGCGCTGGGGGTGCTGGTGGTGGTGGTGGTGGGTAGGAATGCACTTGCACCGGTACTCAAACGGCAACGACGGGAGATGGAATGGAATGGAATCGACGGCGCCTGTCGCGTGCCAGGTGAGACATTATGATTGCAGGTATTGTGGTCTATGCAAACATGACTCCTTGTAAAAAAAGGTGTCAGTTTTGTTGCCAGATAGAAGGGTAAAAAAACAATTATCATATTTTTTTTAATGGCAAATGAGGTTCCAATGGTGTAAATGCTTACCCCGAGCTCTCATACTCTGATGGTGCATTGTCTTTGAGTTGTGCGTCTTTTGGCGTCATCTGGTCCAACCCATGTGAGACTGGGCTCTAAGGAAAGCTGTCTCGGGTGTGGACCAATCAACTTCAAGGACAGTGCATATATTATCAGAGTTATGTTTTTTGTTTGCATTATGACTGCAGGTATTGTGGTCTATGCAAACATGACTCCTTGTAAAAAAGGTGTCAATTTTGTTGCCAGATAGAAGGGTAAAAAAACAATTATCATATTTTTTACTGTCAAATGAGGTTCCAATGGTGTAAATGCTTACCCCGAGCTCTCATACTCTGATGGTGCATTGTCTTTGAGTTGTGCGCCTTTTGGCGTCATCTGGTCCAACCCATGTGAGACTGGGCTCTAAGGAAAGCTGTCTCGGGTGTGGACCAATCAACTTCAAGGACAGTGCATATATTATCAGAGTTGTGTTTTTTGTTTGCATTATGGCTGCAGGTATTGTGGTCTATGCAAACATGGCTCCTTGTAAAAAAAAAAAAGCTGCCAGATTTGTTGACAGATAGGTTAAAAAAACAATTATCAACGTCTACGACGTCAGCTGCCGCGCCCGGAGATCGAGTCGCGTGGAGTCGAACGGGCCATATATAACCCCCCCACCCCCTCCTTATACCCCCTTCATATACCCACTCACACCCGAGAGACCATCTCGCCTCCCCGTGTCCGCGGGACGAGAGGCGCGCATCGGGGGGTAGGGGAGATGGCGATTTCCAATTTCCTCGGCGGAAAATTAGCGCAGTGCGGACAGCCGGCAGAGGAATGTGGATTTGATGAAGACACCAAGTCTATAGCGGCTCCGGTGAGAGAGAGGAGAGAGAGAGGAGAGAGAGGGAGCCCGTGATTAACTCTGCGTGTGGGGCGAGGAAAACATCCTTGGGGGGTGGTGGATGTGGTGGTAGTGGTGGCGGGAGGGGTTAAGGGGTTTACAAAACAATTTGCTGGAGCACGCCACGGGGGGGGGGGGGGGGGGGGGCAGCGACAATCATCGTCGTCAACGTTGTCACAAGAGAGGAGTTGTCGGACGCTGCTTGTTTTTTTTTTAAAACGAGCGAGCATTTTGCGTTACGGGAGTTTGGGGGATTAGGCGGAGCGGGAAGTCGATGAGACGATGGTGTTGATGGTGGTGGTCGTGATGATGGTGGTGGTGGTGATGGTGGTGATGGTGGTGATGGTGGTGGAGGTGATGGTGGTGGTGGAGGTGGTGGTAATGATGGTGGTGGTGATGATGGTGGAGATGATGGTGGTGGTGATGATGATGACGGTTATGGTTATGATGGTGGTGGTAGTGATGCTGGTGATTGATGGTGGTTGTGGTGGGGAGTGGTGGTGTAGCGGTTAGCGCGTTGCGCTACAAACCCGGCGACCCGAGTTCGATTTCCGCTCACGACCGACACCAGTGACGATTATCTGAACCGGTCCTGGGCCTCCCCTAGGTCGACTCAGCCTCAAATGAGTACCTGGTGCGGTGTGTAAACATCGCCACTAGGGAGACAAAGGCCGTTGGGCGTGGTGCTGGCCACCCACCCCCTCGTGTGCCGTGCCGGCCTTCATAGGTGCTCGCTAACAGCACTTGCCCCAACAGCCTGTTCCAGGCTACACGGGGGGATCGTTGTATATTTTTATGGTGGTGATGATGGTGCTGGTGGTGATGGGAGAGAATTCCAAAATTGGTCCCTTGCTCGCGCGAATTTAGGCCGATGCTTTGAGATACGTTACGTCTCAAACTCGCTGATACTCAAACTGATACGCAGGAGGTTTCGTGGGTTCGATCCTGGACCCGGGCGATGCCTGTTGTTGTATATTTGGAGTTCCGCGTGTTCTCTCTCCCTCCCTCCCCGTGGTGGTGGTGGCGTGGGTTGTTCTCCGGGTTCCTCCTCCGGGTTTGCCCCCCCCCCCCTCCAACCCCTACCTCAAGAAACAACAACACATTGAGGATAATTTGGCTGCTGCTATAAATCCCCACGTGATGACGATGGTGATGATTATAATGGTGATGATGGTGATGATTATAATGGTGATGATGGTGATGATTATAATGGTGATGATGGTGATGATTATAATGGTGATGATGGTGATGATTATAATGGTGATGATGATGATATCAGCCGCCGCGAGGATGAGCAGCTATAATCATCATCATCGCGTGTGGCCAGGTCGCCTCTGTACAAGAGGTCCAGGCTGAGTGGGGTTTTACTTGCTGCGTTACCTGGTGACTAACATCATCGTTTAGCTCGGACTTCCCATCGTGTCCTCGCCTTTCGCCTGCCCCGCCGTGGCTCCGTCCAGCTGCGAGGCTTGTTTGCGTGCCTTGCCGACGATCGCCAAAAACCCAGGACCACATCGAGGAAATTAATTAACGCGACGAAACCAAAACATCTGTAGGCGTGCGTCAGTAACGCGGTGTGGCCTTGAAATAATGCAATATACATCAGGCGACGTTTCGAGCCTTGACCCTTCTTCATAACACATCCTGCTTGGGGTGAGTGGCGGGGGTGTTGTCGACTGAGGCCACCGTGACTGTGGGAGGAGGTCGACGAAACGAGTGCCGCTTTGTGTTGTGCGAGTTGTCCTTACGGGTAGACTCGCTCCCGGCATAGGAATGTGGAATTTCCACCGCCGTCTCAGGGCTGTCAATGGGAGATGAGCACCAGTGCCTCAATGCCCATCAAAGCAGGGAATGGCCATGTGTTGTACGGTACTGTACTCCTATGCGTTCACGCCTGTGCTGAAGCCCCGCCCGCGTTCGAGGTTCAAGTTGATTTCGTTGAACCAGCTGATAACTCAAGAGACCGGGATGGAGAAGTCTCATTCGCAAGAGTGGGTGGGTGAGTGAGTGGGGGGTGAGTTAACTAATGAGTGGGTAAGTGAGTCACATGAGTGAGTGGGTGAGTGTCCAATTTGACTTCACATAGCCAGGTAACTCAAGAGACTGGGACAGAGAAGTCTCATTCGCAGGAGTGATCTGGATGTCACCAAAAGGACAACAAAAATTAAAATAAAAAACTCCCACTAATCAAATAAGGAAACAGCAGCAGCATGCACCAAACAAGCGTGGTGAAGTATGGTCAAACGAACTCCCCCACCCCCACCACCGCTCAAACGTGGGGAGATCCACTCACCGACTTTGCTGCACTGCTGCCGTTTTGCACAGAGACCAAGCAAGAACTGGAAGACCTGATGGCAGACATCAAGAAGACAGCCAACCGCGTGCGCTCCAAGTTAAAAGGTTCGTGTCCTCGTGGTTCGTGATGGCCATGACCAGGGGGGCTGTAGGTAACCTGAGGCCACACGCGGCTCTTCAAGGGCCGGCTTCCGTCACGTTCCTTGTGAAGGGGCTAACCGCCGTCACGTGGTCACCACCACGGTGCATTGCGGCTCTTGAAATATTTGCGGGGAGAGGGTTGATGTTTTTTAAACCGAATTCGAAAAACAAATGTGTCTCTGCGTGTTGGTTTGGTTTGTCGTGTTCACTTGGCCGTGTCGGAGTCAGTTTCGTTGCGAGCTTGAGTTCGTGTCCAGGATCTGGGTGTCTCTCGCTCTCTCTTTCTGAGTCGAAGTCTCTATAAACGCATACACACACGCTAATGACACTCACTAACCACACACACACTTACCACACACTCACTAACCACTCATAAACATTCACACACACACACTAACCACACACACACTCACCACACACACTCACACTAACCACACACTAACCACACCATACACACTAACCACACACACACACACTCACCACACACACTCACTACACACACTCACCACACAACACTCACCACACACACTAACCACACACAACACTAACCACACACCCACACTAACCACACACACACACTCACCACACACACACCACACACTCACCACACACACACTAACCACACACACACACTCACCACACACACTAACCACACACACACTCACCACACACACTCACCACACAACACACACACACTCACCACACACACACACACTCACCACACACACACTCACCACACACACACACCACACACACACACACACTCTCACCACACACACACACTCACCACACACACACTAACCACACACACCACACCCACACATCACCACAACACACTCACCACACACACACACACACGCACCACACACACACACTCACCACACCACACACACTCACCACACACACACACATCACCACACACACAACTCACCACACACACACACACACCACACACACACACACTCTCAACACACACACACCACACCACACACACCACACCACACACACACACACACTCTCACCACACACACACTCACCACACACACACTAACCACACACACACCACACACACACACTCACCACACACACCCACCACACACACTCCCCCCACACACACACACACGCACCACACACACACACACTCACCCACACACACACTCACCACACACACACTACCACACACACTCACCACACACACACACGCACCACACACACACACACTCACCCACACACACACACCATCACCCACACACACACACACCACACACACACACACACTCTCACCACACACAACACACTCACCACACACACACTAACCACACACACACTCACCACACACACACTCCCACACACACACACACACTCACCACACACACACACACTCACCACACACACACAACACGCACCACAACACACACACTCACCACACACACACACTCACACCCACACACACACACTCCACCACACACACACTACCACACACACACACTCACCACACACACATCACCACACACACACTCACCCACACACACTCACACACACACACACACCCACACACACACACACCACTCTCACCACACACACACACTCACCACACACACACACACCCACCACACACACTACCACACACACACTCACCACATCACCACGAACCACACACACACTCACCACACACACACTCACAACACACACACACACGCACCACACACACACACACACTCACCAACAACACACACTCACCACACACCACACACTCACCACACAACACACACACCACACACCACACACACTCTCACCACACACACACTCACCACACACACACTCACCACCCTGTCTAACCGCTGCTCTCCCACAGCCATCGAGCAAGACATCGAGAAGGAGGAGACGGAGAATCGCTCCTCGGCCGACCTGAGGATACGCAAGACGCAGGTGCGGGGGGAGGGGCGGCGGGGGGATGGGGGAGGGGCGGGGGGGGGATGGGGGGAGGGGCGGCGGGGGGATGGGGGGAGGGGCGGCGGGGGGATGGGGGAGGGGCGGGGGGATGGGGGGGGCGGCGGGGGGATGGGGGGAGGGGCGGCGGGGGATGGGGGGAGGGGCGGGGGATGGGGGAGGGGCGGGGGATGGGGGGGGCGGGGGGGGATGGGGGGAGGGGCGGGGGGATGGGGGAGCGGCGGGGGATGGGGGGAGGGGCGGCGGGGGAGGGGGAGGGGCGGGGGGATGGGGGGAGGGGCGGGGGATGGGGGAGGGGCGGGGTATGGGGGAGGGGCGGGGGATGGGGAGGGGCGGGGTATGGGGGAGGGGCGGGGGGATGGGGGGAGGGGCGGGGGATGGGGGAGGGGCGGGGGATGGGGGAGGGGCGGGGGATGGGGAGGGGCGGGGGATGGGGGGAGGGGCGGGGGATGGGGGAGGGGCGGGGGATGGGGGAGGGGGCGGGGGATGGGGGAGGGGCGGGGTATGGGGGAGGAGCGGGGGGATGGGGGGTATTCGTTGTAGCATAGCACAAGGAGCGGGAGCAAATATTTACGAGTGGCATTCGTGGTCGTGACTGAAAGTGTTGGTAGGAATGTCGACATCATTAGCCCCCTCACTCCCCGCAGCCCCCCACCCTATCCCCCGTTCCCCCCATTTCATCCCCCCCGCTGCCCCCACCCTACCCCCCCCCTCCGCTGCCCCCACCCTATCTCCCCCGCCCCCCCCCCCTGCACGCCCCGGTGACCCACACTGAATATTTATTATCGATGATGTGGGTAGGAACGGTGAAGGAGGAGGTTTGTGTCGATGTATTCATTCTCGACCTCGTTGATAGCCACATGGACACGCATTAGAGACAAAGACACGCGCAAGAGATGCGTCGTCGATACAAAGATCCCAGACCGTTGGGGCGAGTTCTATTAGCGAGCACCTAGAGAAGGCCGACAAGGTACACGAGGGGGTGGGTGGCCAGTACCACGCCGGGCCGCCTTTGTCTCCCCAGTGGCGATGTTTTTACGTACCGCACCAGATACCCATTTGAGGCTAAGTCGACCTAGGGGAGGCCCAGGACCGGTTCAGATCATTTGTCACCGGTGTTGGCCGTGAGCGGGGAATCGGGCGGCCGGGTTCGTAGCGCAGCGCGCTGCCCGCTACACTACCGCTCCACACATTTTAGAAACAAACATGCAGAATATAACAGGACCCTGCGGGGTGGGCTGGTAGGAATAATACTTAGTACCGGTACAGAGATATCGACCGGGTATAGAGGAGTTAAAGAAAAAAATACTGTATTCTAGTGTAACGTTAATTAAAAGTGTTTGTTTTGACAATAAACGCTGTGAGATTTAAAGACTCGTAGTCTTTCATTTCCAACACCACCCTCAACACCACCCCTCCCACGGACGGACGGACGGACGGACGGACGGACGGACACATTAATCTATTGGTGGTCTGGTCCACTTCGTTCCTACCAGTATAATTACGTGGCGTAACTGACACAGTTAAATCCACGTTCTTTACCAATCATCGGGCTCGCTAACAGCACTTGCCCCTACGGCCTGGTCAACGCTACACGGGGGATCTTTGTCTCTGTGGGTGGGTGGGATGGGGGCAGCGGGGAGACGCAGGGGTGGGGCAGTCGTTAATACCGTGGGAGTGTTGTCGACCGCGCGCTGTTGGCGAGTTCCCTTATCTCGTCCGCGCAGGTCCCACGGCAAACAGCGCAGCTACAAAGGGGAACCCCGCCCTGAAGCTACTGACCCTTTAAGGGGGTCTGGGGGGGGCGGAGGAGGGGGGTGAAGGGGTGGGGATGGGGGGTACGGAGGAAATGGGCATACGCAGCAAGGCTCACAGATCTCCCGTGCGACGTGGACTTCATTAGTTGATGAGAGCAGTTTTGTTGATATCAGCTTTGTCGATAGCAATTGTGTTGATAGCGATGTCATTGAGAGCAGTTTTGTTGATAGCAATATTATTGATTGTAGTTTTGCTGACAGCAGTTTCGTTGATAGCAATTTTTTTGATAGCAATGTTGTTGATAAAAATTTTGTCGGTAACAATTTTGTTGATATCAATATTGTTTATAGCAATTTTGTTGATAACAATTTTGTTGATAACAATTTTGTCGGTAACAATTTTGTTGATATCAATATTTTTTGATAGCAATGTTGTTGATAACAATTTTGTTGATCGCAATTTTGTTGATAGCAAAATTGTTAATCGCAATTTTGGCATTGAAAGCTATTTTGTTGATAGCGATGTTGTTCAAAGCAATATTGTTGGCAGCAACTCGGTCGATGGCAATTTTGTTGTCGATAGCAATTTTCCGTCTGTCCGTCGCGTTCATCCGGCCAAAAGCGTCAACCCATCTGCCTGTCCCCGTGCTGCTATCGTCCCGATCTCTCCGTCTGTCCGTCCCGTCCGGCTCTCCACCTGCCCCCTCTGCTTCTCTACTTGCTGACTTCACGACTGACCCCCTTCGCCCCCACCCTCCCCCCGCGTAGCATTCAACGCTGTCGCGCAAGTTCGTGGAGGTGATGACGGAGTACAACTCGACGCAGTCCGACTACCGCGAGCGGTGCAAGGGGCGCATCCAGAGGCAGCTCGAGATCAGTACGAGAACTCCGCGCACACTCCATGATCAGTCCACTGCTGGATGAATGCCTCCCACCACGTGAACGCCCCTCCGCACCCTCTCCGTCACTGCCTCCGTCATTCAATCACTCGTTCGCCTCCCTCCGTCACTGCTGCCTTCCCCACCATCGCTCCCTCCTTTGTCATTCACTCGCTGCTTTGTCACTCGCTCCTTCACTCACTCCTTCACTCACTCCTTCACGCCGTTCTCCATTTGTCCTCTCCATCACCGGATGCCTCCCTCACTCGCTCACTCCATCGCTCGCTCCAACATCACTCTCTCCAACATCACTCGCTCCAACATCACTCCCCGGTTTCCCTCCCTCCCTCGCACCATCCAGCCGTGGATCAATGCACACTTTATTGAATACTTTACGGTTTCAGCGTCGCCCTCCCCAAATCTTGAACGCCCCACCCCGCCCCCCCCCCTCCTCCCCCCCACGTGTCCCGCGTGAGTGGCGTCCTCTCGTCACCTCCAAGTGGCTCGCTCAGGGGTGGAGGTCGGCCAAGGTCAAATGAACTCACAGAGACGTGACCTTCAAAGCCCGCGCACACAATGCAAAGACAAAGGCCCCCCCTGGTAGCCTTCAACGGACCCTTGTTGGGGCAAGTGCCGTTCGCGACTGGCGCACCGAATGAAGGCCACCACGGCACACGACGGGGGACGGTGTGGCCAGAAACCACGACGCCCGGCCGCCTTTGTCTCCCCAGTGCCGATGTTGAACTGCTTTCGCAAGTGTGCGCAAGCCGCACCAGGTACAGGACTCACTTAAGGCCGAGTCGACCTGGGGGAGGCCCAGAACCGGTTCAGATGTTCGTGCACCCCCCACACATCTCCCCACACTTTCTGCCCCCCCTGCTCTATTTACCAACTATTTACCAACCTGCAATGACCAGCGTGGTGAAGTATGGTCAACCTCCCCCCCCCCCCCATGACTAACACATAGCGTGGGAGGTAGGGGTTTGGGGGTGTCCCAAAATTTCAAGTTTAAAGTGATAACAATAACAATTTAAAACGCAATGAATTTTCACTGCTACGCGGGGGGCGGTTACCCCCTCCCCCCTCCCCCCTCCCGACCTGCCGTTGTGAGGTGTTGGGAGGGAGAGAGGGGGGTGTGGGGTGCCGTCGTAATCCAGCAGTGGAGTGGCTCGCGCGCTTGTGCCGCGCGTGCGGATGAGAGAGAGAGAGGGAGGGCGTGAGAGGCGCGAGAAAAGGTCGCGCGCTGACCGGCTCGCTGACGTCAGCACCGAGGGCCCGTGAGAGATTGTGCACGTGATGCATGGCCTTAATTAGCGGGCAGCCACGCGGGCCCTGTCAGCCCCCCCCCACACACACCCCCCCCACTCAGTCTCCTCCACAGCCACCCACTAGCCCACCCCCCCACTCGCACCACTCATCCACAGTGGTCTCACCTCTCACTCAGCTCCCTCTTCCTTCATCTTTGATCCCCCTCCCACCCCCACGCTCAGCCCCCCACCACCACCTTCCACTCATGGCCCCTCCGCTCCATTCGTCCACCCTCGCCTCTCAACCCCCCCTCTTCCCCGAGATGTTAACTACCTCGCCTGGTACACAGGAGGTCGTGGGTACGATCCCGACCCTGACGCCTGCTGTATATTTGGAGTTTGCGGTGTCTCTCTGTCATCATCATCACTGTGGCTAGGATATGTTAACTACCTCGCCTGGTGTACAGGAGGTCGTGGGTACGATCCCGACCCTGACGCCTGCCGCTGCTGTATATTTGGAGTTTGCGGTGTCTCTCTCCACGTGGTCGCGTGGATTTTTTCTTTTTGATCCGCGTCCTCCTCCGGGTTTTCCCTCGCACGTTCGGAATGAACGTCACGTGTTTTGAGCGTTTTGCTGATATAAATGTCCACACGGTGATGAGAGAGCCACGTTCGTCGAGCTATCATTTGTGGCAGCCAGGTCGCTTCTGAAAAAGAGCTACACAACTCAGTGGGCCTGACCTGGTGCAATAAAATAAAAATGGTTTAAAAATAGTCGTTTAATTCACCATCACGTGATCCTCCCACCTCTCAGCCCCCCCCACCAGCCCCTCCCACCTCCCCCCCCAGCCCCCTCCCACCTCAACCCCCACCCCCTAGGGCCACCCGCGCGTAAAAAATAAACTATCGGGGTCTTTGTCAGGGTCACGTGTGACACGCGGAGGCACGTGATGATGGTACTGATGATGCTGCTGCTGCTGATGATGGTGTTTGTCGTAAGGAAGTTGTTTCGCGATAACGATGCTGATGATGCTGATGGTGATCGTGATATGTACGATGCTGCTGATGATGGCCGTGATGGTGAGATGTATCATGCTGACGATGCTGATGATGGCCGCGATGATGAGATGCATGATGCTGACGATGCTGACAATGAAAGATTCGTGTGAATGACAAGTGTGTGGAAGCTAAAGGAGCAGCCCTGCAATTTCGCCCCCCTGTAGTTCCACTGCTATTGCCCCACCCACCCCCCCCCCCCCAAAAAAAAAAAACATGTTCCTGCTCGTGCTCTTTGCGGCGTCGTCGTCGTCGTGAGACGTCGACTTGACGCTTCAAGTTTGTGTTGTCTAACCGGGCGAGTACTCAAGAGCCCGGGATACCCAGTCAGCATGCCAACGTTCGGCTAGCGATGCCTGAACGTTGCACCAACGTTGCCTGAACGTTAGAACAACGTTGCTGCAACATTGGATGAATCTTGGACCAACATTGCCTGGAAGTTGCACCAACGTTGCCCCATCGTTAGAACAACATAGCTGCAATGTTGCCTGAACGTTGCCTGAACGTTTGAGCAACGTTGCTCCAACGTTGCTCCAACGTTAACCCAACGTTGTCTCTGCGTGTCTATATTTGTTGACCCAACGTCGGAGCAAGCGACAAAGTTACGCGATAATAACACCGGTGATTGATGATGATGGTGGTGATGATGATGCTGACTACGCTGCTGATGATGCTGCTGATGATGATGCTGCTGCTGATGTGTTCAGCTGGGAAGACGACCACTAACGAGGAGCTGGAGGACATGCTGGAGAGCGGCAACCCCGCGATCTTCACGTCCGGGGTGAATGCCAGACTCACACAAAGACAGAGGTTCCCCAATGTAGCCTCCAACAGACTGCTGGGGCCGAGGGCTGGTTTGCGAGCGCCTGTAAAAGGGGGGGAAATAAACACAGACGCAAGCGGATACACAGACGCAGACACGTGGAGATGCAGAGGCAGAGACACGGGCACGCATAGATACAGATACAGACATAGACACATAGACACAGATGCAGACATAGAAACATAGACACATAGACACAGATGCAGACACACTTTCTCATACAGATACAGACATAGATACACACAGATACAGAGACACAGACACACAGAGATGCAGATAGAGAGATACAAACACACATAGATATAGACACAGAGACACACATATACAGACACACAGAAGCACACAAACGCACAGACACACGTACAGATACAGACATAGATACAGACGTAGATACAGAGACACAGAAACACAGTCAGAGAGAAACGCAAATACAGACACACACAGAGACATGCGTAGAAAGTTCTAGGGGATGCGGGGGGGGGGGCTTCAGAAGTTGGTGTGGGGGGTTCTCAGGTGCGATCTGACCTCTTGACCCTGCCCCACTCCCCCCCCTCCCCTCACGCCGCCTAGATCGTGCTCGACTCCAAGATCGACAAGCAGGCTCTGAGCGAGATCGAGTCCCGGCACAACGACATCATCAAGCTGGAGACGAGCATCCGCGAGCTGCACGACATGTTCCTCGACATGGCCATGCTGGTCGAGAGTCAGGTGTGTGTCTGTGTGTGTGTGTGTGTCTGTGTGTGTGTGTGTCTGTGTGTGTCTGTGTGTGTCTGTGTCTGTGTGTGTCTGTGTGTGTCTGTGTGTGTCTGTGTGTGTGTGTGTGTCTGTGTGTGTGTCTGTGTGTGTGTCTGTCTGTGTGTGTCTGTGTGTGTCTGTGTGTGTGTGTGTCTGTGTGTGTGTGTCTGTGTGTGTCTGTGTGTGTGTGTGTCTGTGTGTGTATGTCTGTGTGTGTGTGTCTGTGTGTGTGTGCCTGTCTGTGTGTATGTGTGTGTCTGTGTGTGTGTGTCTGTCTGTGTGTGTGTCTGTGTGTGTGTCTGTGTGTGTGTGTCTGTGTGTGTGTGTCTGTTTGTGTCTGTGTGTGTGTGTCTGTGTGTGTGTGTGTCTGTGTGTGTGTGTGTCTGTGTGTGTGTCTGTGTGTGTATATATTAGTGTGCCTGTGTGTGTGTGTCTGTGTGTGTGTCTGTGTGTGTGTCTGTGTGTGTGTGTGTCTGTCTGTGTGTGTGCCTGTGTGTCTGTGTGTGTGTGTCTGTGTGTGTATATATTAGTGTGTCTGTGTGTGTGTGTCTGTGTGTGTGTGTGGCTGTGTGTGTGTGTCTGTGTGTGTCTGTGTGTGTGTGTGTCTGTGTGTCTGCGGGGAAGTGGTAGTGCAGTGGTCAGTGCGCTGTGCTACGAACCCAGAGGTCGTTTCCCGCTCACGGCCAACACCAGTCACAATATTATCTGAATCCGTTCTGGGCCTCGACTAGGTCGACTCAGCCTCAAATGATGACCTGGTGCGGTGTGTAACAATCTCCACTGGGGATACAAAGGCGGCCGGGCGTGGTGCTGGCCACCCACCCCCTCGTGCGTCGTGCCGACCTTCATAGATGCTCGCTAACAGCACCTGCCCCAACAGTCTGCGAAGGCTATACGGTGGATATTTGTCTTTCTACATGAGTGTGTGTGTCTGTGTGTGTGTGTGTGAATGTGTCATCTTAGCATTTAATATCATCTTAACATTTAACATCATCTTCGACCACGTAGTTTGAGAAGCCTTCCATGGCTGGACCAGTGGAATTTATATCTGATACAAACACAATGGGTGGCTGATCAATGCCCGGGTGTGGTCAAGGGATGGCACCCTACTGGTCAACCATGTTACGTACGCTGATGATCTGGTGGTTGCTACTCACTCTGAGAATGAGTTGGAGGTTCTGCTGCTGAACCTGGAGCGTGCCACTCAGAGGTGGGGCCTTAACATCAGGCCACCAAAACTGAGCACCTCCCTGCGTATATTGTATCATCCAATACTCCACCCCCTCAACTCGACATGAGTGATGGGAAAAGTATGGAGAGAGTGGAGAAGTTTCAGTACCTGTATCGTGTGCCTATGCCCACCTTCGGTTTGGCAGCAGATGTCTCACTGAATCAGCCGAGTGGCATTATTTTTTTTCGTCAGCTGCATAACGCTGTGTGGAAGCGATCTTCTCGGCCACAGTCATGCCCTCCCTTCTCTACGCTTGAGAAACGTGGACTCCTCTCATGGAACATCTGCGCCAGTTTGAAGCTTTCAGGCCGGCCTGCCTACGATCCATCCTGGGTTTACTCACAAATCCTTGAAAGATCTGGACATCTCACCATCACGATCATCATCAGTGAAATCCTCTGGCAGGCGAGGCTTCTTTTGGCTGGGTCATGTAGCCTGCGTGCCCATCCACCGCATGCCCAACTTATATTTGGCTGGATAGAAGGGGCTAAATGAGTGCTGCACGGGCTGGTACCAGCGGTGTCAAGATCGGCCTCTGTTGAGGAGGCTCGTGAAGGACGCTACTGGGCAGTTGGAGGCAGTCGCCCTCCAACAACAACGGAGGGCGGAGGAGCGACACTCACAACAACGAACGTAGCGCCGGGATGGCCAAAACACAACAAGTTGGCACAGTAGGGGGTACAGCTGGTGCATCTACCGGTCATCTCAGTCAGTGAACCCATGGCACCTGCTGGGTCTGTCCCGTGACCTCCTCCTGCACCTAGCCTGGCACAGCAGCAGCACAGCCCATGACACCTGCTGGGTCTGTCCCGTGACCTCTTCCTGCACCTTCCACAATTTGACGCGACGGCTGCAAAGCGCACCTAGCCTGGCACGACGAGCGCTGTGGCGGCTGTTAGCATCAACGCGTCGCTCTCCAAAGGCGTCTGAACGTTCTATTCGGCCCTCGGTAAGGGAACGGCACCCAGCGCCGAGCGTGCCACAGTGTCACCCGAGTTGCGCTTGTGACGTCTCCCCGATGCTTCTGTTAACATCTCCCCAATGTCCCCACCCGCGACTCTCAGGGCGAGATGATTGACCGCATAGAGTACAACGTGGAGCACTCGGTGGACTACGTGGAGAGGGCCGTGTCCGACACCAAGAAGGCCGTGAAATACCAGAGCAAGGCGCGCCGGGTGAGTGCCTGGACCAGTCACCAGGAGGAGCACCCCCCCGCCCCCCTGCGCGACCCCCACCCTCTCACCCCCCCGCCCCCCTCGCTCTGTCCCTCCCTCTTCCTCCTCCTCCTCTGTGCGGCATCATGGTTCATAGCCTCCATAAAGCGCGGTTCCCCACACTCCCTGCCGGCTTCAATCTCTCCCTCTCGTGCCTCTTCTCTCTCCCTCAATGCCACCCTCTCACTCTTTCCCTATCATCCCTCTCCTCACTCCTCCCCTCCCTCTCCTCACTCCTCCCCTCCCTCTCCTCACTCCTCCCTCCCTCTCCTCACTCCATCCCTCCCTCTCCTCTCTCTTCTCCCCTCCTCCCTCTCCTCACTCCCTCACCCTCCTCCCTCTTATTTCCTTCCCCATCCCTCCCTCCCCTCTCCTCAAATCCACTCCCTCCCTCACTCATTCTCCCGTCTCCTCCTCAATTAATCGTCCCCCACCACCACCTCCTCCTCCTACCTTTCTACTCCCCCCCCCTGCCCGTCCCCCCCTCCCTCCCCTTAGTTCCCGTGTGTGTGTTTGTTATTGTTTGTCGATCATTGGGCCTCGCCTAGGTCGACTCAGCCTCAAACGGGTACCTGGTGCGGTGTGTGGTAAACATCGCCGCTGGGGAGACAAAGGCGGCCGGGCGTGGTGCTGGCCACCCCATCCCCCGTCGTGCTACTCGCTCACAGCACTTGCCCCCTTAAGTCTGTTAAGGCTATACGGGGGAGGGGAGATCTTTACCTTTGTTGTTTTGGGCAGTTGTGAGTCGGTAGGTTCCTCGGTGTGAGCGAGCGATCAATGCCGCTGACGGCTGCGCCATGAGCAGAGGTCGCAATCGGGTACCCGATACCCGGCTACCCGTACCCGGCCGGGTACGGGTACCCGTTTGCGACCCTGGTGCGGCCGGGTACGGGTAGGCCGTGAGTCACTGGTGAGTAACCGTTTGTCACTTATTTCCCAACGTCTTGTCTCTTCTCACAATTCAAGTTCCTAGAATCAACCCGCCCGCGCCTGCAACATGGCTTCATCCCAGAGGTCGCAATCGGGTACCCGTACCCTACCCGATACCCGGCCGGGTACGGGTACCCAGGTATCGGGTAGGGTACGGGTACCCGATTGCGACCCTGGTGCGGCCGGGTACGGGTAAGTAATCAAAACCCGTTTGCGACCTCTGCCCGTGAGCGACGACTCAGCGTGGAGAGAAACTCTCGACCCTGGTGCCTGCCGCGGGCGCTGACTGTGCTGTTCACGTCGCATTTGTATATATAACAAAATAAATGCACGGATACAGCCGAGGACGAACGCGTGGTGGAAACTAAACTGCCTAAACTAAAGCTAAACCATTTTTACTTGACCAGGTAAGGCCCACTGAGCTACGCAGCTATTTTTAGAAAAGGACTTTGTCACATATGATAGCTCAATGGAGCCGGAGCATTTGGAAATGTATAGCAGCTAAAGCGCTAACAGCACTTGCCCCCAAACGTCTGATAAGGCTATACGGGGAGCCTTTGTCTTTGTGTGCTGGGTAGCGCACTGCCCTCTACGAACCCCGGCGACCCGAGTTCAATTCCCGCTGTCGACCCAATAACGGTGGCGAATATGTGAGCCGGTCCTGGGCCGCCCCTACGTCGACTCAGCCATCGTGAATACTTGTGAGAGCATCGGCAGTGGGGAGACAAAGGCGGTCGGGCGTGGGGTTTGGTTTGGCCACACCACTCCTCTCGTGCGCCGTGCCAACCTTCACAGGTGCTACTCGCTAACGGCACTTGCCCCAACGGTCTGTTAAGGCTATACGGGGTATCTTTGTCATTGTGGGTTTTTTAAATCCTTTATATTAAGTTCACTTGCTTGCTTGCTTACGACCGTGCAAATCTTTCGGTCGTTTTTTAACCCACTTCCCGTCATCCAATCGAGCTGACATTTTGCACACAGACTCGTTGTGCCTGACAATTAATTTTCGTGAAAAATGTTTTCCAGAATTTTACACTGTTTAGGGAAAAAAAAATATTTAATTACCAATTGCTTAATGGTGGCAGACAATTATCTGACCCATAGGTGGCAGCCATCTCAAGCCAGAGGACGAGAGGACTCTAACCGCCACGCATATAAAGGATTTATAGTGAAAAACTTTGTTTTTACGGGTAAATTTTTTTTCCTTTGCTTTCTTTATGATTTGTCTGACACGTATGCGGTTTTTGTTTATTCCCGTCTCCCTGCCCCCCCCTCCCCGTTCCTACCCCTCCCCCTCTCCCTCCACCACGTCACCCCCTCACCCTCACGGCGATTCCCTCTACTCCTCCTACCCCCCTCGCTGGGGTTGGGGTCTCGACAGAAGATGATGCTAGTTGGGGCGATCATCGTCACCCTCGTGGTGATGGGGGCCGTGATCGCCTTCGCGTGACCCGGTCCCTACAGTCCTCACCCCCGACACTCGCCCCGACACTCACTCCGACACTCACCCCCTACACTCACCGCTCCTCACCCCTACACTCACCCCCTACACTCACCGCTCCTCACCCCGACACTCACCCCTACACTCACCACTCCTCACCCCCTACACTCACCTCATCCTCCTCACCCCTACACTCACCACTCCTCACCCCTACACTCACCACTCTTCACCACTACACTCACCACTCCTCACCCCTACACTCACCACTCCTCACTGCGACACTCACCCCGTCCTCTCACCGATCCTCACCACTACACTCACCCCGACACTCACCCCGACACTCACCCCCTACACTCACCGCTCCTCACCCCTACACTCACCCCTACACTCACCACTCCTCACCCCGACACTCACCCCTACACTCACCACTCCTCACCCCCTACACTCACCTCATCCTCCTCACCCCTACACTCACCACTCCTCACCCCTACACTCACCACTCTTCACCACTACACTCACCACTCCTCACCCCTACACTCACCACTCCTCACCCCCTACACTCACCACTCCTCACCCCTACACTCACCACTCTTCACCCCTTACCCTCACCCCGACACTCACCACTCCTCACCCCGACACTCAACTCATCCTCACCCCTACACTCACCACTCCTCACCCCCTACACTCACCCCTACACTCACCACTTATCACCCCTACACTCACCACTCTTCACCACACCTCACCCCTACACTCACCCCGTCCTCACCACACCTGACCACTTCTCACCCCTACACTCACCACTCTTCACCACTCCTCACCCCTTACCTTCACTCCGACACTCACCACTCCTCACCCCTACACTCACCACTCCTCACCCCTACCCTCACCACTCCTCACCCCTACACTCACCACTCCTCACCCCTACACTCACCACTCCTCACCACTACACTCGACCCATCATCACCACCACACCTCACCCTACACTCACCGCATCAACGCCACTCCTCACCCCTTACCCTCACCCCGACACTAACCACTCCTCACCCCTACACTCACCCTTGTCTTGCCCACACGTGTGGTAGACACGCGGCTGTGCGGTGGGGAGATCTTTGAGATGCGTTACGTCTCAAGCTCGCCTGACACGCAGGAGGTTTTCGTGGGTTCGACCCCGGACCCAGGCGATGCCTCCTGTTGTATATTTGGAGTTCCGAGTGTTCTCTCGCTCGCTCCGTGTGGTGGCGGTGGCGTGGATTGTTCTCCGGGTTCAACCTCCGGGTTTTTGCCAGCCAGGCCCTTTCCAACATTTAGAATCAACGCGCCGCTAGACGATTTGGCTGCTGCTATAAATCCCCCACGCGTGATGATGATGATTATATCAGGCACTTTGGTAGTGAGTTATCGTCACGCGTGGCCAGGTCGCCTATAAACGAGAGCTCATAGCTCAGTGGGGCTGAAACCTGGTGGTTAAAGAGAAACAATGGAAGGGCTGAGATGAACGCGTCTTTATTTAATACTTTACCAGCCTTGTTTCTCGACGTTTGAGCACTTTAGTCGCCTCCTCGATAGCTTCAATGCATTCGCTGCGGTTGCCCCCCCCCCCACCTCCACCCACCTACCCCCTCCCTCCCCCCACCTCCACCCCCCACCCTCCCACCTCCGCCCCCCCACCTACCCTCTCCCTCCCCCCACCTCCGCCCTCCCACCTACCCCCTCCCTCCCCCCACCTCCACCCCCCCACCCCCCCACCTACCCCCTCCCTCCCCCACCTCCACCCCCCCACCTCCGCCCCCCCACCTCCACCCCCCCAACCTCCCACCTCCGCCCCCCCCCACCTACCCCCTCCCTCCCCCACCTCCGCTCCCCCCACCTACCCCCTCCCTCCCCCCACCTCCACCCCCCACCCACCCCCTCCCTCCCCCCACCTCCACCCCCCACCCCCCCACCTCCAACCCCCACCTACCCCCTCCCTCCCCCACCCCCCACCTCCACCCCCCACCCCCCCCACCTCCAACCCCCACCTACGCCTTCCCTCCCACCCCCCACCTCCACCCCCCACCTATACCCCCCCACCCCCCACGATCTTCGAATGTGGAGGCATCGCTAACATCGCCATGTATCGCGTGCCAATCAAACAGGATGTATATATATACTGTATTGATACTGTATATATACTGTCTATATACTGTATAGATATTCTGACAGATGCTACTTTTGCCAAATTAAGTGGAAAGCCAAATGAAGGATGTGAGCCCGGGTGGGGTAGGAGGGTGGATCTGGTGTCTTTGTGCAGTCGCCGTTGAACCGGGCTGAGACCAACCACTCGCTAGCCTTGAGAAGCCGGTTTGTGTGAGTCTATGTGTCTCTGTGTGAGTCCATGGGTCTCTGTGTGAGTCTATGTGTCTCTGTGTGAGTCTATGGGTCTCTGTGTGAGTCTATGGGTCTCTGTGTGAGTCTATGGGTGTCTGTGTGAGTCCATGAGTCTCTGTGTGAGTCTATGGGTCTCTGTGTGAGTCTACGGGTCTCTGTGTGAGTCTATGTGTCTCTGTGTGAGTCTATGTGTCTCTGTGTGAGTCTATGTGTCTCTGTGTGA